TTATTTCTGAAACAGGGCATCACTATCCTGTTATAGCTCAACTTCGTTTCTATTGTACCAACAATATGTCTGAGTACGAAGCATGCATTTTGGGTTTAAGTCTAGCTGCAGACATGTATGTCCAGGAAGTCTTGGTCTTGGGAAACTCGGATCTTCTGGTACACCAAATTCAAGGAGAATGGGAAACACGATATTTGAAGCTCATACCGTACTGACAATGTTTACATGATCTTTGTCAACGGTTCGATCAGTAAAGTTCAGGCATATTCCCAGGGTCCATAATGAGGTCGCCGATGCTTTGGCTACCCTGGCATCAATGTTGCACCATCCAGACAAAGCTTATGTCAATCTACTGCATATTTAAGTCCGAGATCAGCACGCTTACTGTAACATGATTGAAGAAGAACTTGATGGTGAACCATGGTTCCACGATATCAAGGAATACATCAGAATGGGGATATATCCAGTGCAAGCCACAGGGGATCAAAAGAGAACAATTAGACGGTTGGCAAATGGATTCTTCTTAAGTGGAGGAGTTTTGTATAAGAGAACACCAGACTTTGGATTCTTAAGATGCATAGATGCTAGACAAGCTACGATTGTCATGTCCGAAGTACATTCGGGAGTCTACGGACCACATATGAGCAGATATGTGTTGGCAAAGAAAATTCTCCGAGCAGGCTATTATTGGATTACCATGGAGCGAGATTGTATCAATTTTGTGCTTAAATGTCATCAGTGCCAGATACACGGAGATTTGATTCATTCTCCACCATCGGAATTGCACACAATGTCGGCATCATGGCCCTTCGTCGCTTGGGGCATGGATGTCGTTGGACCAATTGAGCCAGCAGCATCCAACGGGCACAGGTTCATTTTGGTAGCCATTGATTATTTCACCAAGTGGGTTGAGGCCAAAACATTCAAATCGGTGACCAAGAAAGCAATGGTCGATTTTGTTCACTCAAATATCATCTGTCGATTCGGAATCCCAAAGGTGATCATCACAGATAATGGTGCTAATCTTAACAATAACTTAATGGAAGAGGTATGTCAACAGTTTAAGATTACACATCACAATTCTACCCCATATCGGCCCAAGTCGAATGGAGCAGTCGAGGTAGCCAACAAAAATATAAAGAAGATACTTCGGAAAATGGTAGAAGGTTCGAGGCAATGGCACGAAAAATTACCATTTGTGTTGTTGGGATATCGCACTACTATTCGCACTTTGGTAGGTGCAACTCCTTATTTGTTGGTATATGGAACTGAAGCAGTGATACCTGCGGAAGTTGAGATCCCGTCCCTTTGAATTATTGCTGAGGCTGAAATTGATGATAATGAGTGGGTCAAAACCCGTTTCGAGCAGTTGAATTTGATTGATGAAAAATGATTGGCAGTAGTGTGTCATGGCCAGTTATATCAAAAAAGAATGGCAAGAGCATACAACAAAAGGGTGCGTCCCTAAAAGTTTGAAGTGGGTCAGCAAGTACTGAAACGTATTCTTCCACATCAGGTTGAAGCAAAAGGCAAGTTCACCCCGAATTGGCAAGGGCCGTTCATTGTGACCAGAGTATTGTCCAATGGTGCTTTATGTTTAACAGATATTGAAGGAAAATGCATAGACATGGCTATCAATTCTGATGCAGTAAAGATATATTATGCATGATTTTCTTTGGTATAATTGTTGATTGTTTGTATTTGGCATTGTTTCGAAGATTGAAATGACGAAGGCAATTTGTTTTGCTATCTAAACACTTTACCCTTTGTTTCCCCTTTTGAGCCGTATTTGTTTCTTTCATACCTCTCTTTTGGAATCAATAACAAAAGGAAAGGGAAAAGAAAGAAAAAGAGAAAAGAGAAAAGAAAATAAGTGAAAAGAGAAAGTATAACAACAAGGAAATTAGTGTGAACTACGTTTGACCTAATTTCTATTAAGGATACGTAGGCAGCCTCACTGCTCGGTCATAGTAAAATAAAATATCAAAAGATCCCCAAGCAAGAGACTGGGGTAGAAATTGTACTTGTAATAAGAAATGTGATTCCAAGAGTTGTAATTTTAAACCCATATCAAATTGTTTTGAGCCTTTGATACCCTTTCTTTCTAACCTCATCCAAAAGCCCACATTACGGTCCAAAGAAAGACCTTTCAATCAATCTTCGAGAAATGCCGAGTCGAGCAAATAGAGGTGATTCATATCAAAATAACGCTCTGGTCCAAACAGGAAAAGTAATAAAAATGAGAGAGTCTTATCGGTGAAAACCTTCGCGGGCACCATAAGGCGACAAGGAATTGAGGAACAAACAAATGAGAGAGGTTTGTCGGTGAAAACCCTTAAAGGCACTGCAAGTCGAACAAGGTCCGTAATTTGGCGGAAAGTAAAATTGGGTTGTGAAAATCTTGGAGAACAAAGTAAAACAATTGGAAAAGAGATTGGTTAAATAGACTGGGCTGATTAATTCAAAATGCATACCATGATTATTGGTGCCAGTGACTCCACTCAGATAAGTTCTTTTTTTTTCCTATCTCCAACAGTCATCCAAATTTGGATTTTCTTCTTTATTCTTAATTTCTCAAAATCGTCGCATTTCATTGCTGTTAAATTTTACTCCTCTAAAGTTCTTCCAAGGTTAGCTTTGTTCCAACAAATAGGAAGGAATGTCAAAGTATACTACCAAGATTCAAAATTGCAAAAAGCAAAATACGGCTAGGACATGCTGGAGATAATATGATGAAAAATGAGACATAGGGTGTAAGCAAAAGTGGAACCGTTGGAATGGTTCAGTAATGTCATGGGATATATACGAGTTCAAACAGAAGGGTCAGAAGTGAAAACAACAGTTGGGGATCCTGCAGTTAAGGATCAATCACGGGGTCAAAACAATCCTTTCGGCTGGTTCAAGGCAGTTTGTTGAAGCAAAGCATGGCAAAGAGAAAACCCTCCCCAACAAGAATGCCACAACTAACCACCACATTTTAAACTGACAAGATTTTCTTGATTTGAAATAGGGGCAAAGATGGCATTTGTTTCAGGAAGCACCCTGTGAGGGAAGCAAGTACCATGCAGGTTTGATCGTATAAATTCTCAGGACCCTCCTGAAAAATGGGACTTAGTTTAAAATTTAAAACAAGCATGAGTAGCAAGATCTAGTATAAATGTACCCCCAAAAGAATATAAGTTGGCTTCAAAGTTTTTATTGCTAGGATAAGATTTAATTTGAAGTTTTCAGGACCCTCCTGGAAAATGGGACCTAGGTTAAACCCTAAAACAATCATAAGTAGTAAATATAGGACAAATATGCACCAAAAGGAATATAAGTTGATTTCAAAGTTCACATAAGAGTTGTCAAGACCCTCCTGGATAATGAAACATGGTTTAAAACTGGCTTAGATAACAAGATTTAACAGAAGTCATGCCTTCAAAAGATATAGCTTAGATTTAAAATTGTCGTTTAGTTAAGAGTTGTCAGGACCCTCCTGAATAAATGGGACCTAGCTTTCAAATTCATATTAATATTTGGTAATATGCTTCAGTTTAACACTCACAGATGTGCCCAGCTACCAAACTGGGGCAGAAAACTTTCTTTTGTTTTGTCTATTTTTGTTGCAATCAGGCGTCCACCTGGAGAACAAGGAACAACAGTTGAAGTATCAACAATCAGGCGTCCACCTGGAGAACAAGGAACAACAGTTAAAGTATCAGTAATCAGGCGTCCACTTAGAGAACAAGGAACAACAATTCAAGTATCAGCAATCAGGCGCCAACCTGGAGAATAAGGGAGTACAATTCAAGTTTCCACTTTCAAGTTCTTACTGATATTTGGTAACATGATTATATATGCCCATCTACCAAACTGGGGCAGAAATTTTTCTTTGCTTTTGTCTATTTTGTTGAAATCAGGAGCCCACCTGGAGAACAAGGGAATACATTTCGAGTCGCAACAATCAGGAGCCCACCTGGAGAACCAGGGAATGCAATTCAAATTTCAAATAATCAGGAGCCCGCCTGGAGAACAGAGGAAAGGAAACAATAGTCAAAGGAAGACATTTAAAGGGTCAGCAATCAGGTGCTCGCCTAGAGAAGAAGGGAAGACATTTCAAAGAATACCATTCAAGTCAGCCACAAAGGAACTTCTAAGGAAAATACAAGTCAACGAGGCAACATCGGTCACAAGATCAAGTTTGAAAATAAATCTTTGCAAAGAATAAATTATAGCTTAGTCTAGCTTCTTCATTTTTGTCATGGTGTAATAAGGAGGACATTAGGCAGTATCAGCAGCAACAACAGCAGTAACAGTAAAACCAGCTTTATGGTAGTCCCAGCTACCGAAACTTCCCGAACTACATTGACCTGATTTCTTTATAGCCAAGGATATGTAGGAAACCTTTGAAGCAAAGGTTCGGTCAAATCTTTCAAAAAATGCTTCCCACGGAGTGTTCAAACAGGCAAAAATCGCTCGTATCGGCTCACTTTATCTTTGCACGAAAACCCTTCGTGTTTCCGGACAAAGAGGGGCAGCTGTGAGCACGTGATATTTTGCCTCATACGAATTACTCCAAAATAATTCCCAGAATTAGGTCTTTTCTTTAATTATGTGTTATTTTAGGAATTAATGTGTGATTTTCCTAATTGTTTGCATATTTTGAGTGTATATTTAATTTATACATAAAAAATACAAAAATATAGCATCGACACGTGGAATTTGATTTTACATTTTTTTTGGTTATTTTAGTAAATTGTTGTTTTACAAAAATGAAAAAAACAAATCACAAAAAATAACGTATTCTACATTTTAGTGTTTAATGTCAAAATTTTGTTATTTGGTATTTAATTATTTGTGATAATTATTATTTAGAGTTAATTAGTATTTTTTAAGTTAATTTGGAATTTATAATTTAATTTAGGATTTAAGTTTTAATTTTTTGAAAAAAAGGAAGAAAAGAAAAGAGAAAGAATTAATAAAAGATAAGAAAATCGGAATTGGGCCAAGTTTTAATTTAATTCTTCAAGCCCAAGTCAAATTCTCCCATACCCATCCAAAACCCGAAACCCGTTTTCCCCAGATCCGACCCGGATCCATCTCTTAAATTAACCTAGAATACACTAAAGAGAGGACCAGCCGCAATAGATCCATCACCCCACCCCCTCGGCTTCGTCTCCTTCAAGACCCACCCCTCCCTGAAAAGAACCAGTAGAACACTGCTCCAAGACCACATTTTCTTCACAAGAATAGTCACGCATATACTCACGGGAGAGACAGAAAATCGGGACAAAGGGAGAGGAGAAAAGTTCTAAAGGGACTTCGATTGAGGTTTGGTTCTGAGTTCGTTCGTCGATAGGAGATTTCCGTTGCCAAGTCGAGTTTCGCCAATTGGTTCGCGGTCTCAGCTGCATTCTGTTGCTTTATTGTTGATTTCCTTCAACTTTTCTCCATTGTATTCATTTGGGGAGCATTCGAGCTAATTGAAAGTCCATTTGAGTAAGTGTTTTAGGATACGCTTAGAGTGTTTCAACATGGTAGGATTATATGCTCCTCGTTGATTTCCATCTGGTTTTGAGTGTGATTTTTTGTATCATGGACAAATATATACTTGGGTCTTAAGTGGAATATGCTAATTTTTTTCTGTTAAGTATGAGCATGAAGCGGGTTTAATTGTTCTCTCTATGTGATTTTCAGTCTACGGTTTAATTTGGTCAACTTAAGGTTGATGGATTGTTCTTATTATTGCCAAGATCAGTTTAATCTTCAAATATTTAATTTCATGTTTAGTGTAGTTAAATATACATTTATATATGTTGCTTTAGGATCTTCATGTTAGGATATCACGAGATTAGTGATCTTTGTCAAAGTTCAGATGCCCATTTTTCCTTTGCTGCTTGATAGCTCCATCCTGATAATTGCTTAAGTTGGTTTTCTTGTTTAATCAATTGGTAGTACTAGTTAGCTTTCTTGGAATGTATATTTGGCTTAATAAGTACGTTTTCAAAAATTGGCAAGTGTTGAAGGAGGAGAAAAGTTACTGAATTCTTATTATTTTCCATTTTGGTTGTACCCTGGGGCTACATAACATGGTCCAAATTTCCTCCTTGGTTTGAAGCCTGATCATGCTTAATTCCATTTCTGATTCATTGGTGTTGATCTGTTATGCTTTCTTCATTTTACTAGTAGTATCAAAATTTTGGGCAAAGTATACTGAGTTTGAGTTTTTAATTGGTTGCTAGCTACTGCTGATTTCTGTAAGCTCTTGTTGAAAAATTCTTTGCAAGCTTGTAATCACATTGAAGGTTGTCGATTAAGCATAGACTAGAATAACTTCTGGTTCTGAGTGTAATTTTGGTTTCAAGTTTGCATTTTGTTGAGAAGCTGAGCGTGGAGGGTGTTGAACTAAGTTTAGGAGATTTAGTTGTCTAAAAGGATTCAAATTCCAACTGTGGTTGAAAGTAATCAGAAAGTCTTTAAAGATAGCCTAAGAATTGTTTAATAAAAGGGATTATCTACCTAACCAACTAAAGAAGCTTCTAGTAGTGGTAAGGTTTAGATTTCACTATTGAAAAATTTAATTCAATAAGGTTTGAGTGGAATCAACTTTTAAAATGTTAAAAGGCCATTTTGTGAATGAAAGGGCATTCTCCATTGCCTATTTAAGGAGTTCATAGATAGAGAAAAAAAGACGAAGATAGAAACACAAGAGTGAGTCAAAAGAGACACTAGAGAGAACAATATAGAAAGGAAAGAGTCCAAAGAGGGAAAGAAAAAAAAATAGAGCTGAAAACAAGTTCTAAAATCAAGAAATGAGATTCCATATCTGAGAATCATAAGCCAAGAAAAATAGAAAGAAAATTGGAATTTCCGATGAAGATTTGAAGAGAAATAATTTGAAAAATTCGATTTCTTTCTTTCTGGGCTTCGAAAAGTTGCTCTTGAGCTGTGGAATAGCTGTATCGTCGATGTTGTTGTTGCAACCGTACTGAGCTCTGTTTGGTTTCGATTTTGCCTTTATTTGGCCAACCTGTTGGTGATTTCATTGTTCAGCTAGGTCAGTTCTTAAATTCCTTGTATTATGTTTTCGTTGAATGATTGACAATCGGGCGAATTCCAATTAACTATTTCATATATGCCAAAGTTAAGAATTCTGTTACTTTAATGTGCCATGAATGTATATTTTTAATTTGATTGGAACGTTTAAATGACTCAAAAATGAGATGTTTTATGTGAATTACTCATTTCATGCTCTCAATTAGGACATTGTTGTTAGTTGTGAGTTTTTGATTGGTTGGATTTGTAACGTCAAAGCTAAGAGATATGCTCTAGGAGTAGTTCATATGCTGCTGGTAAGTTATTGTATGCAAATTTGACATTAACTGACTCTCAACGATTTCAAACATCATTTCTATCCTAGTTCAGTTAGGAAGTCCGTCACTGGCGGATGGATTTTGAATTGAGTTTCGTCCGTAGGAACAGCTTCGCATTTTAGTCTTGAAAATATTCTGTCAGGTTCAAAGCGATCCATAGTTGCTGCAAATTAGCTCCAAGACAGATGCGTTACTGCTGAAAATCAGCCGTGAAAACTCTATTTTTCTGACACAGAATCCAATTCTTAAAGCTACCTTAAATCACTCCAAAATCTAGCCATAACAAGCAGTAAAACGCAGCAAAACCTGCTGCAAGGCTGCCGAAAAATAGCTCCAAAGCAGGCCCAAATCAGCGCCCCAGAAATGCTGAAAGCAGATCGCCAAAATACCCCCAAAATAGCCCAGTAACGACCTAAAATACAACCCTGCTTCTTGGTGGAAATTAGCTACAAAACAGCCCCCAAACTACTCAATAACGAGCTCATATCCACTCCAAAAATGCAGCAACACCAGCTGCGAAGATCAGTTGCAAATCAGTCCAAATACTACATCAAATTCCACCCCAAAATAGCAGCAAAAACAGCTACAACATAGCCCCCCAATACCACCCATTAACCACCTATTGTGGCCATTTAATACCACCAATAACTTGACTCAATCCAAGTTCTTAATCTTTTAAGTTTTGGTTTGTTCTAGTTTTTGGTTCAAGGTCGTTGTTAAGTTTGTGGTTGACCGATTCTGTTCTATTAGAAGTTCCGTGTTTCGCCTTTTGTTTGGAGAAAAATCAAAACTACCCGAATTCCTTGTATCATTGCATCACCAGAAGTTCTTGCATCTAAATAAATTTTCAGCAATCAATGTCCACCTCTTACGGCTCATTTTTTCATATTCTCTCATTCTTGTTATTTAAGAAATGCTTGATTAGTCTATTTCATGGCATTGGAGTGTTTTGTTAGTCAGATTTCTTCATAATAGTTTCTTGAATTGGTGTTTTATATTTTACTCCATGACAATGAAATACTCCATGAATATATGAAGAAAGTACGTCAAAAAGGTTTGTAGTACAAGCTTGTTCAATATAGTAAATAGAAAGGATTAGTTTTTCTGTCATCATGTTACCTTCTTTGCTGATCATATTCTGAAATTACGCTTGTTAATTTGATTTGGACACTACATAAGTTAAAAGAGTTGATGACAAAGTTATTTTAGTTGATTTTTTTGAACTAACAACAATCCTAAACTTAGGAAATAACTAATTCATGAAAATCGTAGCTTGTTTTAGGCACGCTTTATCAAAAATTACCTTCCTAAACTCGGGTGTGCATTTATGTGGCCCAAATTCAAATCTCAACAACGTTAGATAAAATATGTCGCGGATCGCGGTGCACTTTATGCGACATGATTACGGGTTCCAGAATTAAGACCAACGTATGCGTTCGCGCAACGTTGGGCAAAACATTCTTAATCTTAATAAAATATCGTGGTTGCGTACATGTTCGCATGACATAATTACGATTCTAAAAATAAAATCAAAGTATGCGTTCGCGCAACTTTGGCCAAAATTTCTTAATAATAATAAAACATTATTAATTGTGGACACGTTCGCGTGACATGATTCTTGACGCGCCAAAAATGGGTACACATACGGGTGACCCATTTAAGGATAATTTTCTTAATTTAAAATGCGGTAAAAGGTAAATTCACATAGGTTCTAAAATCAGTAATTAAACAATTTAGTCAAGCCAAGTATAATCAAAGCGACCGTGCTAGAACCACGGAACTCGGGAGTGCCTAACACCTTCTCCCGGGTTAACAGAATTTCTTACTCGGATTTCTGGTTCGCGGACTGTTAAACAGAGTCAATCCTTTTCCTCGATTCGGGATTTGAACCGGTGAGTTGGGACACCATAAATTATTCCAAGTGGCGACTCTGAATTTTAAATAAATATATCCCGTTTCGATTGTCACTTTAAATTGGAAAAAACTCTCTTACACCCTTTACGGGGTGTAGAGTAAAAAAGGAGGTGTGACATCTTTTACTTAATTTTTATAAATAATCTACCTAGATTTTCAATTCCAGAATAGTGAAAGCATATATCTAACTATTTCCGATCTCCCAAATTTACTAACACATGGAAACACTCCAAAATGATAGTCGACTTTTACATTTTATAGAATATATGTATTTTGATTTCTTAAATAATTTCAAAACAAAATTTCTAATACACAAAATGTTCATCAAAACACTATGAAATTTACTAACACTAGTATCAATCTTTAATAAATAATTTTCTCACTAACTAAACATCGAACAAAAAGTTCAGAAAAAATTGACTAACTTTCCAAGACATTTTGGGGAGAATGACTTCCGTGACATTGTATTTCTTATTTTGAAACATTTTCTTTGTTACAGTACATGATTTAGATTAGGGATAGCCAGACAGGCATCACGCGGCGAAGGTGTCTTCCTATCGGTCAGATTTCATTCTAAGATCCATCTTTGAAGTTTGAACGTCAAAAGCCAGTATTAGATATATTGTGGGCACACACTATACAATTAATAATGTAACTTGGTTTTCCTTGACCAAGTCCATAGTGCTAAAATAGGAAACACGTATCCATTGATAGTATAAATGAGTTTTTAGACAATCAGCGCAATTATAAAAGATAACTCGTTTTATTTTTTTCAAATTACTAATTGAACATTATTAACAATTATCTTTAGTAGAGTACATTTTAATGATTTGGTAATGTATAAATTAAGACCAACAAGAAAAGCTGGACCCCTAAATGGACCAGACTTATAATCTAATGGTATGGTATTGGTGGAAGTTTCTAGGGCATTTGCATTTATACCCGTTTTTTAGGTCACATTTTAACTTGTGCTCGCTTTGCAAAAAAAATTACAAGCGTACCCATTTTTTCGTGCAAAGGCAATAAAGTAAAACTTCAGCATTCTAGTAGACAGGCCTGAAGTAGCAAAGGCAATACGCTGAAGTTTTTTTGTCCTGGATAAGCTTTTTCAAACACTTCAGCAGAAGATGCTGAAGTTATTTAGTTCATTTGTAAAAGCTTCAGCAACTAGATTCATTAGTTTTGTCATAAAGCTTTTTCAAAAACTTCAGCAGAAGATGCTGAAGTTATTTAGTTCATTTGTAAAAACTTCAACACTAACTAAGCTGAAGTTTTTTTTGTCCCGGATAAGCTTTTTCAAAAACTTTAGTAGAAGATGCTGAAGTTATTTAGTTTATTTGTAAAAACTTCCACACTAAATAAGGTGAAGTTTTTTTGTCCTGGATAAGCTTTTTCAAAAATTTCAGCAGAAGATGCTGAAGTTATTTAGTTTATTTGTAAAAACTTCCACACTAAATAAGGTGAAGTTTTTTTGTCCTGGATAAGCTTTTTCAAAAATTTCAGCAGAAGATGCTGAAGTTATTTAGTTCATTTGTAAAAATTTCAGCACTATATAAGCTGAAGTTTTGAAAAAGCTTATATAGTTTTTTAACCCATACAATCACTATATTGGATCTTCATTTCTTTTCTTCTTTATGAACGTTTTTATGGAGCAAATCAGTAATTACATTAGAAAAAAGTGCCTTCGGTGGAAATAAATTAAATAATCATAAAGTTTTAGTGATATAAAGTGAAACTATTACTTTAACCCCACAGATCAATTCATTTGATTCAAAGAAAAAAGGATTACATAAAAAATGCGAAAAAAATTAAAAGAAATCGTGCAGCTTATGTTAGTTGATTCATTGTTATTGATAAGTCGTAACAATGAAGACCAGATGTTAACCTATGTTATCGTACTGAAAATATCTTAAGAAAATGAAGGACGAGAAGGATGAGGAGAAAAGGGCTGGAATTGTTTAAAAAGTGGGTACAAGTTAAAACTTTTTTTAAAAAATGGGTATAAATTAAATGGGAGCGACCAAATAGAACGTCTCATGCAATTTTTACAAGTTTCTCATACAATGTGTGAGTGGAACTCTTTGTCCCCCTCTACCCTTCCTTGATATGGGGGAACGCCCTATTTTGGATCATTATTTAAGTCGTACCGAAAGTTATTCTAAAAAAATTATTTTACCCACTTTGGACACTACTTCAGATATAAAGTAGCATAATATACGTCTAAAGTTGTGGAATATAGAGGAAAACGTCTTTAAGTGCATACTAAAAATTAAAATGGCTGCACTTAAATTCGTCTTTAGTGCAGTGCAACCAATATTTTTTTTTTGGTATGCACTTAAGACATTTTTATCTGAAGTTCAGATGTATAATATGAATTTTTTTACCTAGAAATAGAAATTTGTTTTTCAAATTTCAATAATCCAAAATACGATTAAATGCCCAAATTTATTCCAAAAAGTTTAAATTTAAAATATAAATTTAAAATATGTATATATATATATATATATNGCATCTCGAGGGCTTCCAGTGATCGACTCCGAGAATTCTCAATGGCCGACTTCGAGACAGTTCGACTTCGAGACAGTTCGACTTCGAGACATTATAATTAATCACCGGCCCCGAGACATTGTGAATAATCGGTCTCGGCAGATCAAGGTGGAGTTTCCAAGGCACGTGCATATGGCAGGTCAAGTTTAGTGGACTAGCCCAAAAGGCGAATCAAGGCACTTAATGGCTGTACCAGCCTCATATCTTTGTAATTAATGTGTTTGTACTATGCTGGAATTCCCCCTCATATATAAAGGGGATCCTTATTATTTTGTAAATACTTATTGCTCCATACTAAATATACTTGAACATTCTCTCTGCTCTCTAACATATTCTCTTGATCTCATTACTTCATTTATTGCTCATATTTATTGTGTTCTACTTTAAGTTCATCATTTATTGCTTATTATTGGCCATAAAGAGCTGTCATTGATTTATTTATAACTGTTAGTCTTCATCGACCACCCTCGATAGCTTCCAGCCGAGCTTCAGACTCGACCCCAAGGCCCTCAAAGAAGCAAGCTCGAGGCCCCGATTGACAACGATTCGGTTTGATTAACATCTCGTTTCTAAGTTCTTTTCTTGATTCCAAGTACTTCACATAGCATCAACTGCCTAACAACTAAATAGATCACATATTTTTAGAACTGCTAAATTAAATTTAATTGTTATTACCATTTTCATGGTAAACAGTTTGGCGCCCACTGTGGGGCTAAAAATAATAGTGATTATTTTCTTGCTGGTTTAACTACATAACACAAGTTATCTTTCACACCTTTTCTCACCCAAGATCTTTGATTCCAGGTCAAAATGTCTGACTCAGTAAGCAACAATCTCGAGAACCATGGAGAAAATGGTGTGGACATTCCAGGTGTTGGTGTACCGCCACGAAACCCTGAGAATGCACCAGAACCAATTCCCGTGGACGCGGTCTCACGCGATGCTCAATACATTGACGTAAGCTCCAACACTAACAGGAGCGTGCACGAAGGATACCAACAAGAAGCTCAGAAAACCTTGGCTAGGGAAGAACGGGAGGTTAGCCTTCACATTATTTTTGAAATGTTACAGGCACAACAGCTAGCGATTGCTCAACTGCAAAGTTACCAGAAAACTCCCAGCATGGTGGCGCCGGGGACGGCTCCCCCAGCCGAGCAGGTACCGAAGAGATCAAGTGACAACGGGTTGGTAGTCGACCCCGCCATCGTAAAGATGCTTGAGGACCTCACAAAGAGTATCGAACCGGGCGAGAAGAAGATAGAAGCCAATGACAAAAAGGTCGAGACCTACAACTCTAGGGTTGACCAAATCCGGGCGCACCCCCGATCCTGAAAGGTATGGATTCGAGGAAGTTCATACAAAGGCCGTTCCCAGAGGAAGCGACTCCTAAACCCATCCCAAAGAAGTTCAGAATTCCAGACCTTCTGAAATACAATGGAACCTCAGACCCCAATGAGCACGTTACTA